AGAGAGCGTGTCCTCCCCCAGCACAGCACGGCTGCGTTAGACGGGGTGGGCAGAGAAGAACCAAGCTACCCCTCCCCACGCATCCTCAAGGCCCTCCATCCACCCTGAGTTCCCAACAATCGATGTGTCACTGTGCACTGCTGGCTCTCCTGATTCAGCGCCCCCTCTCCAGCCTGGGGTAGGCTTCCCCCTGAACCCCCAGTCTGCCCTCTATGTGGCAGCTGGACCCTCCTTCACTGCCCCTACTTCCATCCTTACCTGAGCAAACGAGGCCCACAAAGGCCTGGCCCCTGCCCACCTCTCCGGAGCCATCTCTCAACTGTCCCCCCACAATACTCATCCCCGCCCCCTGCTCCCTCCACCCTGGCCACACCAAATGGCCTTGTTTTCTGAAAATGTCACCCTCTTATTCTTCAGGGCTTTGTGTAGACACTCAGAGTTCTGCCTCAATTCCTTCCTCTCTGGTTGAACTGCAGGTCAAGTTTAGTTCAATGTCCCTCTTGGGTCTTGGCGCCCCATCCTGGGCACGCCCACGGCCCGAGACGGCACTCTGCTCATGGAGCTGTCCTGTTGCTCCACGTCTGCTTAACGGCAGACCCCCTCAGGGTGGCAAATTTGTCCTGCTCTCCCGTGTCCCCAGCCCCAGCAGAAGCAGCACAAAGATATGCTGCAAAGTTTTGCAAACAATAACAAGGGTATTCAATTAATAAACATTTATTGAGCACTGACTGTCTACATAGCCCTGTGCTAAACCTCGTAGTGGGTTACATAATGCAAGGCCCCTCAACTCTCAAAAGAGCTCCAGACTAGATAGCATTCAAGTGGGAGGTTCTGCCCCCATGAGGGTGGTCAGGGGCTTTGGCAGGGGTTTGCCAGAACACGTGCCTCCTGAACACCCGCTGGCTTCCCTGGGCTCCACCCGCACAGCGCTCTCCAGGAAGACCCTTTAGACTGTGTCCCCCCTTAGAATCTGTGCCCCTGGGCAGGGACCACAGTGGGTGCCTATTTCCTCTGCACAGGGTCGGGCATCTCTGGAGCTCATTAAATATTTGCTGAGTGATGGCTAGAAAGAACACCAGGACAGCAGGCAAAGGGCAGTGGTCACAGGCCAACCCAGGGCGCAGGGTCTGAGTTGATGGCTCACTTGCCAATGATGATGCTCTGGCAGACGCTTTAACAATGCCTCATCTCCGACCCCCTTTTAATTGCTGCTCCATAGGCTTAATCCTCCAGTGATCTCTGGGGTAGGAGGGTAAGGGCTTCACCCTACTTTATACATGAAGAGAATGGGGCTCAGGAGGTGAAGGGACTCCCTCAAGGCCACCTAGGTGGCAAGTGGTGGAACTGGTGTTGGAACTCAGGTCTAATCTCAAACCCAGCGCTCTTCTTGCGTTGCTGCTCCTTAGTGAGCTCTTCCACTCTGGGGAATCCACTCATGCTGCTTCTGGGTTCTCATCTTTTCTTAGGAACCAGGTCAAAGGGGAGTGACTTTCTGAGTCCCAAATAAACCCGAGGCCTCCTGTGAGGGGCCTGGAACCTTGGCCAAGAGCATCAGAAATCAAGGGACAAGGTCCTGCCCCAGACCCAGTTGTTGCTGGTTTATCTGCCCCTGTTGCTCTAGCTTCCTGGGGAAGACTTTCCCAGTCATTTATCAGCCACTTATCCATCCATCCATCCATCCATCCATCCATCCAACCATCCATTCCTCCAACCACCCATCCATCCATCCCTCCGACACCCACCTACCCATCATTCACCCATCATTTGCCCATCATCCACCCATCATTTGTCCATCATCCATCAGACCATCCCTCTATCCATCCTTATTAACTTGCTCACTAGTCACAATTATCTTTGATACATATCAGGACTGTGCTAGGGAGATTAGATACAGCCTCCACCATCTGAGTCAATAAAATGTAGCAGGTGTAGATATCATGACAGATGATGTGGCAGTGGGGACACAAAGTGACAATCTAGATGGAGTGTCTGGGGACTGTAGTGGGGAAGGTGTCCTAGAGGAGCTGGCACCACTCTTGCCACGTCTCTGAGGCTACTGGTGTGCAGTGGAGAAACCTGTCCAAGGCCGGCCCCCACTTCTGACACATCACCAGTGCTCTGTGAAGCCACTTCCCCGCTGTTAGGGTGGGACATCCTCGTGGAAACTACCTGGCCCACTTCACTGGGCCATTCTGAGGCTAGAAGGACAGACACAGCTTGGAGAGAGCTGGGGCAACAGCAAAGTCCTCACAAGCACTGGCTACTTAGACTGTCCTTCCTGGCTCAGGATGGAGGGATGGGGTCTCGCCCCAGCTATTAGGGATCCTTGGCCACTGGATGTGTGTGTGGTCATCCTGCCTGTCACACTCTGGCCCTGCAGGGCCTTGGAGGCAATTACCTACCTGCCCCACTGAGCCCAAACTTCCAGACTCCCAAGTCTCCCAGCAGAAGTGGGGGCCTAAGGGTGGCAGATGGCTCCCCAGACTGGCCCTGAACCCAACCCTTGATCATCCCTTCCAACCTTAAAGCATGGCCACCATCTTCTTGGTACCCCACAATAACCCCGGGAAGGAGGCAGGGCAGGAGCTGGGAGCCCTATTTTGCAGGTGAGAAAACTGAGGTCTGAGAAGCTAAGTGGCCTGTCCCAGCTGGCGGGCAGGCCCCTGGAGAGGCTGAAAGCTGGGGCTCTGGTGTCCTGGAGGCCTGTGGTGAATTCTGGCTCTGCCATTGAATCACTGTGTGACCCAAGGCTTAACCTCTCTGGGCCTCGGTGCCTCATCTGTAAAAGGGGTACTGATGGTGCAGAGTGGACGTAAAGATTCAATGAGATAGAGTTTGGAAAATGCTTAGTGCCGTGCCTGGCACACGTGGGGCACCCAATAGTTTGGAAAATTGTGAACACTGATTTAGGTCTCCTGCCTCCTAAACTTGTTCCCCCTCTACCTCTCACCAACCCCACCCACCCACCCACCCCGCCTTTCCAAGGACTGAAGACAGCAGCTGGCAGTAGGAGGTGGTTGCTTTAAATATGAGATGAGGAGAACAAAGGGAAAATAGAACAGGGTGGTGGCTTGGGGATAAAATTTAACAACTCCCCTCCCAGACTTGGGGGAGGGATCTGAAGGACACCATCAGATGTTCCTGCCTCCTAGTCTCAAGGAGCTGAGCCTCGCTTCACCGCTCAGTCTGCCTGCTGTGGGGAGGGGAGATGCTGGGCTGGGACCCTGAGACCCAAGGGGACACCCCCGTCTGCCTGTAGGCTCTGTTCTCCAGAGAAGCAGGAAGCAGGCTAAGCAGAGAAGCTCTGGTGCTTCTCCGCATCACTTCCAAGACGGCATTAAATATTCACCAGATTTCTCCACAGGCCCGCTGAGAGCTTCAAAGGCAGCCGGCCCCCTTGGCGGCATGCCCAACGCCTTGGTTGCCGTGGGGCCCCTTCCTTGCTCCTCATCTCACACTGACTGCCTTGGTGCCCCCGCCCCTTCCCACCCCGTACTCTGGTGAGGCCTGTGGTTCTGGCGTCTGTGTGGGCCCCCATGGGGGGAATCTTTATTTCATTCTCTCTGATCTGGAATCTGGCCAGCACTCACTGCTCTCCCAGGCAGGGGGCTGGGGCCCTGAGGGTTGGGACCTGTGACTCCAGATGTGCCCAGAAAAGGCTGCCAACTTCCCCTTTGCGGACTCTGGCTGGGCCCAGCAGGGGAACTGAGGTGTCGGTGGGCAAATCACTGCCGCCCACACACAGAAGGAGTGGAGGGGCTGGGCTGGCGGCGGCCGCAGGGCTGTGGTCGCTGTCTCCACGAGTGAATGCCCGGGGCTGCTGCCGTCTGAGCAGGAGCCCGATGAACTGCGGCTCGGACATGCCATGGCGACCCCAGCTCTCCATGGGCTGGGGGGTAAACAGCAGGCCTGTGAACACAGCTCATGCCCTGATGAGTGGGGACAGTGAGGCTGGCAGGCCGGGGTCTGGGTCCCTGCTGGAGTCACTTCTGAACGGACCTGGGCAAGAGCTCTCACCCACCCAGCCTGAGTTCGTTCATTTGTGAATGGGGACAGTGATCACCACTCTGGAGGTCTGTTGAGAATACAGGACATCACAGTCACGAGGGAGGGAGCCCACTGCCTGCCAAGTAGGGGGCACTCAACAGATGGAAGTTTCCTCCTCCTCAAAACCTGCGACCCTCCCACCTTCAGCCCGCTCTCCCTCCTTCCCGCCCCCTCAGGAACTCCACGCCTAAATACTCCACTTTCCCGATCATCTACCTCACCAGCTTCCTTGGGGCATGGATTTATACGCACGTCGTTGTCCCCTCAATGGAGGCGCCCTCCCCAGGCGTTCACCCTGTCTCATCCCTCCCCTGGAAGATGTCATGGCCTAGTTCAATGCCACCTCCTCTGTGACATGTTGCCTGGAACTGCATCCTCCCTCTCCTCCTAGCAGGTATTTAAATGTGTCCTGCTTTTCTGTCCAGGGTCCGCCTCCCTCAACAGACTGCCAGCCCTGTGCTCCCAAGGGCTGCATGTCCCTCACTGTGATGACCCTCCCCTTTTCAGCCCCTGTCAGCAAATGCCGGTGGGATCACTGGCCATGAGCAGGGAGGGGCCTGGGAGGAGGGTCAGGGTGACCATGGCTGGCGCGGGTCTTGGGGAGTAGAGGGAAGGAAAGCCTCTGAGGTCAAGAGAAGAAATGCCAGGGAAACAAAGATGCCATGGTCCCTGGTCACCTGGTCCAGCCCGACAGTGACCACACTGCCTTCTGGGAGCAGGATGGCGAGGCGAGTGGGGAGGGGTCTGCAGTGGACAGAAGTGCGCCTGGACCGTGCCTGCTAGGGCGGCACTTCACAAGCTGATATTGCTGAATTTCCACCCCGTCCCCGGAGCTGGGTGTCAGCATCCCATCTCCAGGTGGGAAGACAGCAGCTTGCCCACGCACCCGGAACGTGTGCCACCTGGGCATCTCTTGCTCCAGATGCTGCCAGTGACACCCTAACACCTCAGGAGGCTGGTGCCTTTTATTCCCATTTTATAGACAAAGCAACTGAGGCACAGAGAGGTTGGGGAGAGCGGAGCTGGGCCCAATCCAGGCCTGTGGACCTCAGGGCCCACACTCCCCACTGCCACCCCAACACCTTGGATGAGAGCTGAGCCAGCCTCACTCTTTGGCACCCACGTGTGGCAGATTACAGGAGAGAGCAGCTGCAAAGCCGGCAGTTAGTAAACCGAAACTATTCCAGGCCTTGGCGCCCCCTCTCCTTTCATTCCATCTGCACGCCTCGCCAGTCTCTCCAGCAGCACCTGGCGTGGCACAGGGCTCAGGGCAGCACAGGCCCAAGGTCAAGGAGCTGCCCACCCCCTGTGCCCCCCCCAAGTCCCCGAGGGCCAGGACCCGCTCCACAGTTAGATCCAGATGGTCAGCCTTGGGGCAGTGACCTTGACTTTTCGTTCTTCCGTCTGCCCCACTGCACTCAGCTCAGGGCCCCATGCACAGCGGCAACTCAGCCAGCACTTGTGAAGTGCACGAGGGGACCGACGGTGCTCCTCTCCCTGCTCAGCAGCGCTGGTCTTTGAGCAGAGCTTAGCTGAAGGACGCGGTACAGTCCAGCAGATCCCATTACAAATGGACCCTCCACCTCTGGAGGGCGTGCCTGGGCCAGATGCCGGGACTGCCAGCCTGAATGTGCTGGGTGGGCCATCTCAGGAGTTCCCCGTGAGCGTTGGGGAGGGTGGCTGGGGAGAATGACAGGTGATCCCAGCTCTGTCCAGACCTGGCATTGTCAGGTCTGCGACTCAGATTCAGGGGCCAGCCCCTGAGTGGAGGGGGCTTCTCGGGTCTGCAACGTGGCTCCTCATCCTCAAGTCCCTCCTGCCCCCATGCATTTACTCCCACTGTCCCTTGGCCTGGAGCACCTCCTCCCCAGGCAAAATCCGCTTTCCCTTCAAGAGCTAGCTTTCAGGGCTCTCCCTGCCAGAGGCTCCCCACTACTCCCAGGCTGGGCCTGGAGGCCCTCCTTCCACCCCGACAATGCCCTATCCTGTCTCTCATTATATCACTGTCCACGTCCAGCTGAAACAGCTGGGTTCAAGTGTTCCTCTGCAGTAGACTGTGAGCTCACCGAGGGCAGGGCCTGTGGCCTTTCCGTCTTTGTGTCCCCACTCCTGGGGCCTGGCACTCAACGGCTGCCAAGTAAATTGTTTTTTAACTGAATTCCATCGTGTGAGACTGAAAACTTCATTACTGTGGCTCAGTCAGGCCACCAAAGGTGTCTCAGTGTCCACATGGCCCCGTCCAACCTTGCCCAGCCCGCACTTGCGACGTAACGGGGAGCAGACAGGGCCCGGATGCGTGGGGTTGTTCCTGGGCACTGGGTGTCCAGCAGCCTCGCTGTCTGGCCAGAAGCCTCTCCAGTTCCTGGGACCCAGCACAGCCTGAGGACACAGCATGCCCTCCCCCAACCTCAAGAAGCTGTAGATCAAAGTCAGTTTTCAGTTATTTTAATTGTAAAAACCGAGACACTTATATAAATAAGACCGCTGTGTAAAATAGGATTCACCCTTCTACTAAAACCCTTCTCCCCACACTCAGAAAGAAGATAGAAAACCCAGCAGAGATAAGAAGTACAAATCAGCATGCGGTCCCTGATGAGAAGTAAGTGGCAGGCCAGGTTCCCTGCTGAAACAGGCCTCTCGGTGAGTGCACTCCTGGCCCAGGCGTCTCACCGGAGGCTCAGTGACACTTTGAGAAACTGCTCAGTCACAGTTCCCACACCCTCAGCCACTGGTTACCAACTGCACGGGTGGAGGCAACGTAAAAGGTTCACGCGGCCTGGCGGCTGGGGAGGAGGAGGGGACAGAGGGGGAAGGCTGCTTGGTCCTCATGCCAAAGCCAGGGGCTGTGGAGCTGGAGGTCCAGTGAGATGCAGTGGTTTGTTCAGCCTCGGGTCAGGCTAGGGAAGGGGCTTCTGGGGGGTCTGCGCTTCTCCAAAGGACAAGGAGACAAGCGACCAGTGACCCCCGAGAGGAGCGGCTCCCTCTTGAGGCCATCTGCATATGCCCGGTAAAGACAAGGACAGCAGACACCTGCCCACAGTGCCGGGGGTGGGAAGGTGGGGGGCTCCCGGGAGGCGAGGGGAGGGCAGCCGCCGAGAGAGGTGGGGCTGGCATGTCCCTGTGAGAAAAATTCCACCTTCCCCCTCCTTCTACCCTGTCACATCTCCCGGCTCCTCCCCTGCTGCCCCTTCACACCCGAGGACTCAGCGTGAGATGGCTGCGAGCCTGGGGACAGAGATGTCAACAAATTCACACACTGGGCGTGGCTCAGGATTCGGGTACACAGGACAACAGAAAAGACCAGGCTTTCCTTCGGAAAGCCAGGCCCTGCCTGGGGCTGCTCCCCATCCCAGAGGAAGGGCAGGAAAAGACCCTGCAGGGGATGGGGGCAGGGGTTGGGGACAGCGTCAGGAGCACTTCCAGACACACACAGCCAGGGTCCCCCCGAAGTACAGGTAGAGGAGGTTCTTCACCTCATGTGTGATCTCGAAACCAAAGCCTTCACCGATCACCACGTGCCAGGAGGAGCCGAACTTCTTGTCCATGGTCTCTTTGATCATCTTGGCGGCGCTCTGGAACGGAGAGGGTGCTCATCAGGGGAGGGTATTTGGGGGGAGAGAGTGGGCAGGCATCAATGCCCTCTCCAGGAAGCAGAAGTCTTGGCAAGGGAAAGGCCCTAATACTGTTGTTCTGCTCACGGAAACTTCAGGAAGGGTTTCTGCACAGGCCATCTCCTGCCGGGCTGTGAGACCGGGACAGAAGACCAGACATTACCTCACCAGTCAGAAGACACTGGCAGGGAGGTCGAGCAGGCATCGTGGAGTTCTGGCTCTGCCCTTAGTGCTCGCTTCTGGTCTGCGGGCCACAGGGCTGTTCTCAGGGCTAAACGAACAAGCTCTCTGCGAGAAGACTGCGTGGAGTGGTGTTGCTGCGAGGGGCCAGGTTTACCTTCGGGGAACAGGAAGGCTTTTCCCTAATGGGTCTGGTAGACTCCTGGAAGAGAAGCTGGACTGCTTCCCTCAGCTGTGGCAATAGCCCACTCTTTCCTGTGCTCACTCTTTCAAGAAGCCTCTTTCAAGGAGAGTCGAGGGAGGGGCAGAGGCCCGGCCTTTGAGGGGTAAGTCCTGGGCCCAGGCACTTGCTGTGCACCAGCAGGGTCCACCACCGAGCTGGGCGCCACGCTGCACGCCTCGCCCACATCATCACAGCACATACCGCCTCACGACGGCCCAGCATGGAGGCAGCATCCTTGCCCCCAGTCATAGACGAGGAAAATGTCCAGGGTTAAAGAGCTAGGAAGGGCTGGAGACAGGATTTGAACCTGGGCTTGCCTGGCCCAAAGCCTGGGTTCTCACTGGCCAGGGTCTGCCTCCTCCCTGACTTCCATGACTCTGATTTCTTTCTTGCTCACCAACAGATTGATGAATGACATTCCTGTATCAATGCCTAGCTGTCATCTCGCCAGCACCTAGGACAGTGCCTGGCACAGAGATGGTGTGTAACATCTCTTCTGAATGGATGAATGGATACATGAATGAATGCCTGGGCGGGCCTCTGTTCTCCACTGGGATGGAGCTGATGGGGAGGTGCCCTACTCGGCAGCCCACCTGAGACAAGGAACCTGCGCAGGGGCGTCATGGAAAGCCCTCTGGCTCTTCTCCCTCTAGGGCTGGGCGTGATCAGTGTCTGGAGACAGCACCAGCCTCTGCCTTCACCGGCCTTCCCCACGCTCCACAAGCTTCCAAGGAAGGCCCTAGCCTGGTCCCAGTGGGACCCTCTGGAGCTGGCTGTGGGAACAGGGGCTACTCAATTCACCCATAGGGGTCACCAAAGACACGAGGGGCCGCCTGCACTGATGGCAATACCTCGTTGTTGTTGGAGAATTTCTCACAGGCCGTGACACACAGCTCCATGGTCTCCACTCGCATCTCCTCTGGCATGTCCGAGTGCTGGAGGCAGGGCAGGGGACAAACAGAGAGAGGCTTAGCCTATGACCTGGCTTTCTGGGCTGGCCTCTCTGTCCCAGGCTTAAGGCACAGACACTGGGAAGCTTCCTGGGCACAGCCCTGGGCAGAGCCCAGAGAGATGATCCATCTCCTGATGGAATCAAGCTGAGCCTCGTGGGCTCTAATGCCCAGGCCCCTCTGCAGCCAACAACTCCAGCCGACAGACATGGGGAAGAAGACTGGCCCAGGCAGGAGCATGCTGGCTACAGACATAGTTTACCAGCAGACTCAGAGCAAAGCTGGCTCGCTCATTAGCCTGAAGAGCTGGCTCGGCCACTCTTAAGTGTCCTGCTTTCCCTCCTGCCTCCCTGGGTGCTCCTTCTTAGCCCACTTTGCTGGATTCCCTCCTCCTCCCAAGTACAGGAAAGCCCTGGACTTCATTGCCACCCTCGCCTCTTCTCCAGCTATCTGCTCTCTGGGATCCCACCGTTTCCTGGATTTAGACATCTTTGATGTGGGGAGGGTACCCACATGTTCATTCTTAGCTTCAACTTCTTTTATGGGCTCTGGATTCATATATCCAGCTGCCTGTTTGACATCCTCAGATGTCTGAGAGATAACTTGATTTTTCCCATAAACCTATTCTTCTGTTTTCCCTCTCTTGGTGATTGACACCATTTTCTCTCCCATGTTCAGGACAAAAGAGACCCTAAGAGGCACCCTTCACCCCCTTTCCCTCATATCCAGCATCCAATGTGCTGGTGAATTCTATTGCTCTACCTTCAAGATCTGTCCAGAATCCTACCATGTCTTGCCACCTCTACTCTGTAAACTGGACCCAGCTGTCCTCGTCATTCTAGGCCTCTGTACTAGCATCCTCACTGGTCTCCCCACTTCCATTCTGGTTCCTCCAAATCCATTCTCCTTCCAACAGCTGGAGTGATCTTTTTAGAAACAGAAAACAGATCGCATTACTTCTCTGCTTAAAACCCTCCACTCTTCCTCTTTGAACTCAGGATAGAATCCACATTTCTCATCGTGGCCCACCACGCCGTGAGGTCTGGCGTGAAGTCTGGCCCGGCTGTCACCCTGACACATGTCCTGCCGCCCCTCTCAGCGCTCTGCTCCAGGCACACTGGCCTTCCTTCTGTTCCTCCCCGGTGCTGAGCCCACTCCCACCTCGATTTCTCTGTGCCTGCTGCTTCCCCTGCTTGGGAAACACTCCTTCCCAGACCTTCGGAAGGCTTGCTCCCTAACTTTATTCAGGTCTCTGATCAGAGAAACCTCTCCAGAAGCCAACCTCTACTCTCTAGCCCCATACACTTGCTTTATTTTCCTTCATAGCACTTGTTACCTGGAACTATGTTCTTTAAACCTTCCTTTCATGTGGGCCAGGCCTTTGTCTGTCATGTTTACTACTATATCCACAGTGCCTAGAACAGTGCCCCGTATACAGTAGGTGGCCTAAATAAATAATTGTCAAATGGATGGATGAATGAAAGAATGAATCACTGTTGACCCCTTGGTCTCTAGATCTGGACAGCAAGCCCTTCTGAACTTCTTCCCACTGCTATCCCGCAGGGGACAAGCTCCCCCCGCCCTCTAAGGCTCTGTGGGCCGGCCCTGCAGGCCACACTGCCTCCCTCCCCTGGGGCTTACCCTGACCAGAGGGAAGGTCTGCAGCCGTTTATAATCAGCCTCATCTTTCTTCCCTTCTGTTTCTCCCATGATCCTTCCACTGTGACCCGGAGGAGAGAGTGGGGATTTCAGGAGGTGCTGGGACCGGTAATTAAGACAAACCCAGGAGACTCAGGAGGCAGGCCCTGCCAGCTCAGTGGGAGCAGAAAATGTCTCTCCCCCAAGGGGTGCTGTAGAAAACAGGAAAAACCACGAGAAATGAGTTGGCTTTAAAATCATACATCACAAATTAGAAATGTCTCAGTAACAATTTGACACCTCCCCGTCTCAACTCCTCCACATCCTTTTCCAAATGGCCAGCAAGTCTGCAGACGGGAGGATGAGTCAACACGAGATGCTGGGACCTGGTTAAGAACACGCTGGTACGATGCTGCAAGCCCACACTGTCATTATCAAGACAAATACTGACTGTGGGCCAGGCCGAGGGCGGAGCCTGGAGCTAGCAATTAACGAATGCAGCTTCTCTGCATGCCCACTATGTATGTACACAGTCCTCACTTCCCAGCAGACGTGCTTAGGAAGTTAAATGTCAGGTCACGTTCAACAGCCCCGGGCTTATGGGCAAGCAAGTGCCTCCTTCCGTGGGCCCTGGCTCTGTGGGAGGAATGGAACAGCGATGCTCTGTGCCCTCCTTGGCAGGCCAGGCTGCCCAGCTCCTCCTGTCCACTCCCCCAGGCCACCGTGTCCCGGTGGGCTGGCCCAGGAGTTGGGAGGCCTGGGTGCTAGTTAGGCCTGCTCACTAGCTGTGTGGTCCTGGGGCTCAGATTCCTCATCAGTAACACGATGGTAGTCCCATCTCTCTCATGGGGCTGTTATGAGAATCAAATGACATGATGAATGTAAAGCAACTAACAAGTGCGAGGCACACAGTAGGCGCTCAATAAACTGTCCTTCCCTCCCTCTGACTCCTAGGGGAATCACACGAGGATAGGAGTGGAAAGTTATAAAGCCTAATACACACATAGAGATTTTTTTCCCTTCCAAATCTAGTTACCGAAAAACAGATGGGGCTTTTGCTGAAAGGTTGGGCCTGGATCCTAAATGACTGGGAGCAGTGCTGGAAATTCTGCTCTTTCTCTTCATCCTACAATTCAATTTATCCTATAATTCAAAGAATTTTTTATCTCAGAAATATCACTATATAAGTGAATACAAGCCACTTTGTTGTTAAACCCTTTCTAACCACCCATATTGGTTAAAATACAGCCAAATAATGTTATTCCAGCATTTTCCCCATTTCCAAATAAATTTACTTTCACCATACAGCACCACCAAACCCTGACGATGCTTAGCACAGTAACTAACAGGGAGGTGGAGACATGTGACGTTCACTGGATTTCCTGTGCGCTGGACGCTGTTCTAAATGTTCCACGTGCATTTACGCAGCCCAGCGCCACCAACATCCCCAGACTCAGGTCCTGCACAAATGGAGGCACATAACCGCTGTGAGGCTACCCTGAAGGTCAGACAATGGGCAGCAGAGCTGGGGTTTGAATCTGGGTACCATCTCAAGTATGGGCACTCCTGATTCCTCCTCCTGAGACCTCCTCCCAGCAGTGGCACACAGTAGGCATCCACAAAACTGATCTCTGTGCGTGACCTCTTGTGCGGCTCCTACGAGCCTAGCAGTGAGATAAACATTTGATCATCCCCATCAGTGTTTCCTGTTCTAATGATAAGTTGAGCCTTGTTTGGCCAAGCATTGAACTTTCTGTGCATTTTTTCCGGGCTGTGCTCTCAGCCCCTGCTCTCACTCCCTGATGCTTCAGAAGTCCTCAGCGCCACTCCATGTGGTCGGCTCCCTCGAGCGAGGCTAGAAGCCTGGCACCGACTCCAACATCCACAACACTGGTATTTTCTGATTTCCCAGTGGACAGACGGCTCCTCTTAGCTCATCAATTCTGGGCATTTGTACCACTCAGATATTAGCAGTTTTTGTTTGTCTCTACATAGAAGCTGGCAAATTACCAAGCACCATCTCATTGTACTTTCTGCTCATGTTTCTTATTTCACAAAATCCAGTGCATCATTTTGTCTTTTCTCATTAATGTTAAGGCCCAGTCCCACTTCATCATCCTAGATTTCCTTGGTAAAGGCCACCTGATTTCCTCCTCCTCCACATTATGGAGGGGTGACAGAGGGCGGGGGTTGCACTGACAATCAAAGGACAGGGCTGTGAGCTTTGACGGCCTCCCGACATTTTCCAGTGGGAACAACGCAAAATGCTGAAGCGGCTGCTTAGGCACTTTCCACCTGAATATTTCAATTTGATTCAGTTCATCCTCTGGGCTAGGAGGTGCTTGCCTGGAGGAGAACTCAGAGGCAATGTGCCCATGCCTGACCTCGGTGGAGTTAGGGTCTGTGACCGCTGCCTGGACTCTGCTTTAATACGTGGAATCCTGATGAAGACATCAGAGGTATTATTACCAAAGCCCACTCTTCAGAAACAAAGCGGAAAAAGCCACTGGGACAGGTGTTTTTTTCCTTTGTGGGAGGACATCACCTTGTAGAGAAGGTACAGGACCACAGGGTGGAGTATTCAAGCTGGAACGCTAGCTCTGTGACTGAAATCAACTCTGCCCCCTTCCCTGCTGCGCAGCCTTGGGCAAGTAATTTAACTTGAGCCTTGGTCTCCTCTTCTGTGAAATGGGATAACCCCATCTCATTCTCAGAGAGCTGTTACAAGCACCAAGTATCGGCATGTGAGTGTTTTGAAATTTTATAAGCTCTCTGCACTCTCAACATCACGCTGCTCCTATCACCACCATGTTCCCAGCCAGGACTTCGTCAGCATCATTCAACCACGTTTATTGAGGATCACAATTGCGAATAGCTCTTCCTAACCGCTACACGAACTTCTGGGGAGCCAAAAGGGATGAGACTTAACAGAATAAAAAGGAACAGTTATAGATGATGTGCTTCCAAATATGGAAAGGTAGGAGAATTTTTTATGACGCTGTATCATTATAGTACAGCTATAGTCATTCAGCCACGATTTAAAAACCCTGCTGAAAGAATGCTACTGAAAATAGCAGAACTAGAGGTTTTAATAACCTTATCAATCTTCCATGCAAATGAGTGTGTGCCTGACAGGCCCAGGCCAGGAAGAAGCTGGGTCAGGCCTAAAAGAGAGCCTTTTTAATAATGTAAGTGTGTCCTGGGCCAGGGCACTTGCATCTGCTGGGTCCCAGGCTCAGCCGTCCCAGGGCCCAGCCTGGTGCGCAGAGCCAGTGGCGGCCTTGCTCCCCCTCCTGCCCTTCATTCTTCTCCTCATCCAAGGGCCCCTCTAAGCACTTTATACAGCCTCGCCTGTGTCTGCTGCAAGGCTTCTTCTAGGGAACAGGAGGCAAAGGCTCTTTATCTCATCATCTTGTCAAAGCTAGCATCCCTTTTCCCACTGTCCCTTGTTCTTTTGTGGTGCCGACCTCAGTCACTATTTATTATTTTGCTTCTGAAGAGTTTGGGAAGAATCTTTAAGAGGGTTAGGGGATGTGCGAAGGATGAGGAAAAATGAATGAATTTGGGGAAGTAACACCTCAAGTGTCCACCAGCCCCCTAGAGGGGCCCCAGCCACTCAGTGCCTGACCACGCTTGGCTCATAGACCATGGCTCGCCACCCTTTACCACCTTCCGCATCTGAGAGAGCATGGCACTATGGTTTGAGTGCAGGCTCCACAGGCAGATCTGAATTCACATCTCAGTCTGTCTTGGATGAGTGTTTACCTCTCTCTCAGCCTCGGTTTTCTCATCTGGAAAATGGTCCTAAGAAGAGACTCTAGCTCACGGTGAATGTCAGCTCTGGTTAGTGGTGCAGTAGGAAGGGGAAGGCAATGTCCTTCTTCAGATATTCGCCACCTAGATTGCTCAGCACTCAGCCAAACAAACCAACCTTCACCGGGTTCCCCCTTGGTGCTGTTAGAACTGAAGCAGGAAAGAGTCCCACGGAGATGCTGGGCACACAGCTGGGCCAGGTGGGCCGGGGTTGGGGGATGGTGGTGTGGTTACACTGCTTTCAAACTTACTGTCTCATTTCAGCCCCTCACCGCCTGTAGGGGCAGCACCCACTCCCAGTTCTCACACAAGGCACTGGGGCTCAGAGAGGTTTGGGGGCTGGCTTGTGGGTACACAGCCGGCCCTGAGAGAGCCAGGATCAGAACCTGTTCTTCTGACTCTACCTTCTATGCTTTCTCCCGTCACAAGCAAGTCGGAGACAAGACAGTAACACAAATAACATCACTCCTCAGCAGTCCCCAGTCCAACCTCCTGTCCAGGAGCGCCCCCTCCCTCCAGCCGTATCAGGGATACACATGCACTTGGGCACCTCGGTCACCCTCCTGCCTCTGCCTGACACGTCCGCTCTCTGTCTTCTGGCAAACAAAGAGCAAAGCCGGTAAGGTGAGGAGGAAGAAACCGAAGGACTTGAGGGCATTCATCTAAGATGTCAGTGCTGAAGTCAGGAAACAACATGGAAGATCTGTATTTCACAATCAGTTTAAAATGGGGGAAGCAAATAGGATTGCCATTTTAAAATTTTGTTAAATAAGAGCATTAAAAAATTTACCATCTACTATAAAAGAAAGTTTTAATAGCAAGAAGGAGGTGATTGCAGAATAAAGAAGAATCCTACTTGAGAAAAGACCATTACTTTTCATACACACAAAGGTTTTTTTTTCTCATCACCCCCACTTTTTCTCATTTCACTGAGGTCCAGTGAAAACTTCTGATGTGCCTTAAACCATGGGGGGTAGGGGGAGGGAAAGAAAGAGAGGGAAGGAGAGAAAGAGATGGAGAGATGGAGAGAGACAGAGACATTTTCTTTATGTATAAGATGATGTAATAAACAACTGACTCACGTGGTACACCCTTGTGGACATAACCAAATTTGGATGAAATCCAAACTTTTCTGTCAAGATACAAAGCATAGCTATTGCAGCCATTAGCTCCACAGGAGAACAGATGCTTTCCTGCAGACAGTGAATTACGTAGTCTCTGGCTCCCCTTTCCCACCCCCACTCCCGCTTTCTTACTCAAGAGTACAGATTTGAACATAAGGGACTAAGAATGACGTTATTACAGAAATAAATTGGAGTCAGCACTGATTTGTTTTTAAATCATTCATTACTAATTACTGGTGACATCTCACAGGCAGTCACGGCTCAGCAGTGTGTCGTGAGTCCAGACCGTCACCGGGGGTGAAGGATTTGATCTGTTCTCCTGTAGATGCCCCGGAGCACAGAGTCCAGTGTCAGACACGTGGTAAAAGCCCAACGAATACCTACATTGTAATTAAGTTATATTTCATTTGCCCCCTGGGAAGGGACAGAACCTATCAAATCCATTCACTATTTATCGAGCACTGACCTTGAACAAGGCAATGGGGTGGCTGTTGTACATAGAGGAGCTCATTTACTTACACCCAAGAACTCTGTCATATGGGTACTATTATCCCTACTTTTCTGATGGCCACTCAGGCTGAGAAAAGGAAAGTGACTTTCCACCTGGCTGATAAATAGAGGAGTTAGGACTCAATCAGCTATATATGAATTCAGGATTATGCTTTTTCAACTACTCTGCTATAAGCAAGAGACAGTCTCTGCTTTCAAGGAGACCAACACAGACACACAAGGAACTACTGATGGTTCATAGAAGAAAGCAGTAAGTGCCACAAGATAGATGTAGAGATAGAGGAAAGAGGAGAATTCTGGAGAGGGTAGGGAAGGATGGAAAAAATACTTGGTGGCAGGGGCAGCATCTGAGTCAGACCTTAAAAGGTGAGTGGGAATCCTGAAAGGTGGGCAAGGTGAGGAAGCCCTTCCAGGCAGAGAGACAAACAAACACAATGATGTCAAAGCAGAAAGCTCAGTATTTTCTGGGAAAGCCCAATAGTCCCGTTTGGCTGAAAGGAGAACTTGGCAAAGGAGAAGAGAGAAAGCAGGCTGGGAAAAAGGCTGGGGTTGGCTGTGGACGTGTAGAAGGGTCCTAAGACCCAGGCTTAAGAAGTACGGCTATTTTCAGTGGAAAATGAGAAGCTCTCTGGAGGTCTCTTGGGGATTGGTGACATGGTTGTGTTTTCCAGGTTGTGTTAACTTCTGTGGGTTAACAGGAGGAGGAGAGACTGGAGGCTTGAATACCAGTTAGGAAGCTACAGCAATGGCCCAGATGACAGGCATTAAAAACTTGAACTGGGATGGTGGCTTCAGGCATGGAGAGAATGTGACATCCTCGCAGAAGCAGAATCAAAGTGACTTGACATTGCCTGAGTAGGATGGGCATGGCAGAGTGATGGACGATGCCCCAGGAGGATTGTGGTGTCATTGAGAGAGACAGGGGAAGTCAGGTAGAACAGATGGGTAGCTAGCGATGCGGGCCAGCTTGATTTCTGAACTACTGAGTTTTAAGTTGTTGGCGAGATACGCAAATTGAGGTGTCCCATCAGGAGTAGGTAATCACGGAATCATGGATTATCGCGGGCAGAGGGGAAGCCATCAAATCCAACTACCACACCCGCTTATCAATCTCCACTCCAACCCCCACCCCCAAAGTATCCCTAACCATGGAAGTCCAGAAGAAAGATCAGAGCTGGAGATGTAGATCTGAGGGTGAAATGGAGAAATGACAGCTGACACAGGGGGAGCTGGTGACGCCTTTCAGAGGGGGAAAATGTGCAGAAGTAAGAGACACAGGAAGTTAAGTACATATTATCTTCAGAATCCTCCAAGGAGATGTGCTGCAGTATCCTAATTCTATATATACTCAGACTGGAGCCCAGGGAGATTAGGTAACTTGCTAGGGTCCTGCAATTGGGAATCTAAAGTAGGTTTGTCAAGTTCTTTTCATTACACCTGATACCTCCCACGAGTACCACATCCTGGGGGAAGCCTACAGTTAGTTGGGTCAAAGAATCACATCCTAGAACGTCGGAGTCGAAGAGGCCCTAGGCATCATTCAACTTAATTTCTTATTTACAGATAGGGAAACTGAGGCCCAAAGAGGGAAATGACCCGCCTGGAGTCCCAGCACGTCGTCAACTATCCAAGTCAAGTGGTCTGGATGGAAGCGACGGCAACCACCCGCTCAGCCACAGGAGTAGGGGGTTACTTCGCGAAAGATGGGGGAATCAAGGTGCAGGAGGGAGTCGGGTTAGGGAGGACGAGCGAGCGTGAAGCTGGAGGGGGCCTCAGGTGGGTGGGGAGAAGCGGCCTGCAGAGTCGCGACGACGAAACTGTCTGGACCGAGCTTGCAGGTCCCCGAAGAGGGGGGGCGGAGGGCGGTTGGGAGGATCTGGAACTGGGACCAACAGGCAGGAGGCTGAGGTGGGGCCTCCGCGGTGGACGAGGCTCCGCCCGCTCCGCCAAGCCTCCCGGCGCCCCTTCGGGCCGGCCCTCCCCGCCCGGCTGTCCGTCTCGCCCCGGGGCCTCACCTGCTCCCGCGGGGGCCGGAGCCAGGGCCTCACCGAGCGCACCCCCGCCAGGGTTGTCAAGGAGCGAAACAAGAGTGTCTTAGCAACAGCAAGGAAGTCCTGCCCCCTCACCGGACGTTGACTGGAATTTTACTTCTTATTGGTGAATAACAATGTCAATCAACATTGAAGGGTCCTACAACGTAGAGATTTGTACGGAAAGGGGCGTGACTTATATGTTAGGGAGGCGGGGCTTCACTTATAGTTGTCTTAAATGGGCCTGAGGAGCTGGGCAAACACACAAGTTCTCATTTTAGAAAAACTTTGCAAAGCAGTATTGCCTGGGGCGTTTCTTTTAGTCATTTTAAATAACAAATGCAATTTGTCGGTGTCATGACACTGATATGCTTCTTTATTAGGACCTCAAAAACCTAATAATAAGCATTTATGTAGGGCTTTACAATGAGTATCGCACCTGATTCTCACCACAATTCTTTTAGGTAATAGTATTCGTAACCACATCCATCTGAAGTAATGCTCAGAGAGATTAAATAACTTGTAAAGGGAAAGAATCAATGTTAAGTTCCTGGAAGAGGAACCCAAGGGCTCTTTCCGCTGCAGCACGCCCTCATATAGTTGCCTAGTGACTTAAAGATACAGTTGTCCAGAGCTTGCCTTTTCTTCCCCTTAGGAGGGAAATTAATCTGAAAGTATAAGTACAACCAGGAGGAAGGGAAATGGGGGAAGGGAGAACCACCTGCAGATCTAATTGTGTGATTGGTGGATCAAAGGGTCAGTAGAGTACTCCATATTTTTAAAATTTACTTTATCATGATGGGTAGTTTGGGGGAAACTCCACTTCAAATTCACTGGCACCTACTGGGAACTCAGCCCTGGCCAGGTGCTGATGATTCAGAGAGGAGTGAGATGAGGACCTTGCTCCCAGAGAAGTGGGGGGAAAGTTATGTCAACAAATAGATACAGAGTAACTCACTCTATTTGTGCTCAGGTAGAAGTGTGGGCAAGGTGCTGGTTCTTTCCAAGGAGGGAGTAACTCTCAGAGAAGGTGGTGCTTGAGTTGACTGAGTCTAAGATGACCAGTGGGCTAATGAGGGTGAGAGAGCACAGTTCACTTGGGAACCACTGGTGGCTCCATGAGGCCTGGGTGGAGGATGAATGTGGCGTGAATGGGAGAGAATGGAGAAGAGGATGGAGGTGAAGATGTGGAGGAAAGGATATCAAATGCCAGGTTCAGGGAGATGAGGTGAGAGTGGAAGAAGGTAGCTATTGGAGGATTTTAAGTAGGGCAGAAACATGGGAAGATTTGGGTAATGGAAAGATCATTCGGGTGGAGGAGATGGTGAACTGGACTTGGAATAGGTAGAGGAAGGCAGGCACAGCGGGTTTAATTTTGAGACTTGGAAGCTTGAGGTGTGTCAGGCCCTTGCCGATTCCCAACTTGCCTCCCTGGTGCGTCTGAGGGTCCATGGAATATCTGACTCAGCCTCCAGATTTCCCCAATCCTCTTTGCCAGATTTCTCCAGGAGATGAAAGGTGGCCTTTGAGGGGGATGAATCTCTCGCTTCCGCCTCTCATCCAAATTTCTCCCCAAAGGGGTCCACATTTGCTGTCTTCTCTTTCTCACCTCCCATTCATTCTTCAACCCACTGCAATCTGGTTTCCACTCCCACTACACCACCAAAATTCCCTCTTCCATGGTTACCAGTGACCTCCTGAGGAGCAGAATCTGATAGACCCTTTTAGTCTTTATCTTATGGGAACCATCCCCTCTGCTGGTGTATATCTGTTGACTACACCCATCTTCATGAAATTCTCCACCCCAGAGATAGTGCCTGCAGAACTCTTTACAATGCAGATTCCAGGGCCCCTCAGCATCAGAATGGTGAAGGGCAGTAATTTTTATTTTTCACAGGCACTCCTGGTGCACACTCACAATGGAGAGTCACTGCTCTATCCTAACACCTGGGGCACCTCATTCTCCTGGATCTCCTCAAACCTCTCTTCCTTTCTGGCTCCTTCTTCCTTTGATCTCTGTGCCCACCTTTATCCTCTTTTCTTTTCATCAGTTGCCTCAAATTCCTTCCTACCCCTCTTCATCAGCAAGAGTTTCCCTTGGTCATGCTTCCTAGAGTATTTACTGGAATTGAGGGTTGGGTATGTATTTTGGAAAACCTCTCTGGTGATTCCAAACACTCTCCCAGGGAGTTAGGCCACCCATATCTCCACAAATATCTTGTGGAGAATTGCTGCCTTATCTACTGTCCTTTGGGGATCTCATCCTCTCCATGGTTCCATTGTCAATGTCCTTGTAGATTCTGATGGTGTCTGTGTTTCTCTCTCCAGATTAGACCTCTCATGGGAGCTACCAGCCTAAATATCCAACAAATCCTTGGCTATCTCCACCAGAATGTCCCACAAACCCTTCAAACTCAATGTATCCCAAACTGAATTGATCATCTTCCTCCAAACTGCTCTCCTGAATTCCCCATCTCAGTAAATGGCACCCACCCCTCCTCCCCAGTTTCCTCTATCAGAAACCAAGGAATCTCCTCCTTCCCTCTTCCCCCTCCCATCATCCATCTCAAGTCAATCACAAGCCTGCTGATTCTAACTCCTGTGTCTTGAATACAGCTCCTTCTGGCCATCTTCACGGCACTCCCCATGTACACAGCACCATAATCCCACCTGTATTATTGCAACAGCTTCCTGATAGAACTGCCTGACTGCAATCTTGCCCTTCTCTAAATCCACCTTCCTTACTGCAGTTGACGTGGTACTTCTAACACCCAAATTTCACCACTGCATTCCTCTCCTTAACTATGCCTTCCCTCCCTCCACGGTTCCCCATCGCCTACTGAGTGACATCTAGATACCATAACCTGGAAATCGAGCCCCCCGTGGCATGGCCCATGGGTGCTTCCATCTCCCTGCTCTTCCTTCCTCTGTGCTTTATGCGCCAGGCACCCCAACTCTTATGGCTCCCCAGATGCTCCATGCTGTTTCTCACCTCCCTGGATTTGCTCACACATCCTCTTTGCCCATATTCTCCCTCTGCTCTTCCCTCCTTTTAGCTATAGGAGCCCATACACTTTTGGTCTTAGCTTGCACACATTGGGATTCTGTCACTTGCAACCAGAAAAGTCCTTTGTACTCCTATCTCATGTGGTGTGCATTCCTGTCACTTCTCTTCTCCACTGTTTTATACTTGAGTTTAATTCTCCATCTTCCCCTGTGAGCTCCAGGAGATCAAGGACCTTGTCTTATTCCTCTCTACAACCCTGTGTTCCACACAGGGTCTAGCAGAGAGTAGGTGCTTAGTAAATGTTTCACGAATGAATGTGTGAGTAAATGAAATAGAATCCTACCCTACTTCTTCAGACTCAGCTCTTGTTCCCCGAGACTCAGACATTCCAGCTACACCCTTTCATGCGCTGCTCCTGCTGTTTAGAATGGTTAATGGCAGACACCCCAGAATCAGTTAGGAATTGGATCAGCTGTAAGTAACAGATATTGGGAAAATAGTGACTTAAAATGACACAAATTTACTGTCTTATAGTTTTGGAATCAGAAGTCGGAAATGGGCCTCAGTATGATCCCAGGGCTGTGTTCCTTCCTGAGGCTCTGAAACTATTTCCTTCTCTTCTCCAGCTTTTAGAGACTTCCTGCCTTCCTCTGACAGTGACTCTTCAGTCTCTTTCATATCTGAGGACCCTTGTGATTACATTGGGCCCGATGAGATAATCCTAGTTCATCTCTTTATTTCATGGTCATTTGACTGAGTAGCAACCTTAATTCCATTTGCAGCCTTATTTCCCTTTGCCACGTGACAAGTATTCACAGGTCCTGGGGATCAGGATGTAGACATCTTTGTGGTGAGCATTAATTTACTTATTTACTCAGTATGGGTAAAATTTTCACATGTCATTGGAAAGAATGTCTATTCTGTAGTTGCTCTATTAGGTCAAGTTTGCTTATCATTTTGTTCAAATGCTCTGTACTCATACTGAATTTTTTCATCTGCTAGCCCTATAAATTACTGAGATAGGTGTGTTAAAATATCCCACTCAATTATGGATTGGCAACTTTTCCTTTTGTTTCTATCAATTTTTACTTTATATGTTATGAAGCTGTGTTAATACATGCCTGTAAATTTATAATTGTTATATCTTCCTAAGAGATCGATTCTTTATCATCATGAATTGTGCCTTTTATCTCTATCAGTGATTCTTGTCTTTTTTTAAAATTGAAGTATAGTCAGTTACAATGTGAATGCTTCTTGTCTTAAAGTCTACTTTGAACTAAGTATATTTACAACTTTCTTTGAATTAGTATTTGCATGGTCCATATTTTTCTGTCTTCTTAATTTCAACGTTTCTATAGAATACTTTTAAAGCCCAGTTTGACAATATTAATATTTTCATCGGAATATTTATCTTTTAATATTTAATATAATTACCTACTGACATTAAATTTCGGTTTAAATCAATCACCTTACCATTTCTTATTTATTCTACCCTTTCTGTGTTTTTTTTTTCCTCTTCCTTTTTTGGCCTTCTTTGGATTTTTATTGTTCTACTTTTTTCTCCTGTAGTAACTTGTTACACATCCTTTTATTTAGTGATTACTCTAGGAAGATATAATGTTGATTCTAGACTTATTAAAGTCTAAAGTAAAATTAATATTTTGACTGCTTCCAGGACCATGCAAGGATATTAGAATATTTTAATAGCATTTACCTCTTCCTGCTTTTTAGTCTGTTGCTGCCATGAATTTTAAAGCTTATGAGACATCTATTTTTTTCAGTTGATACTAACTTAGATTTGTCCACATAGTTACCCTTTCCTTTGTTCTTCACTGGAATTCCCATGTTTCCTTTGAGGACCTTTCTCCTTCTTCCTAAGGAATTTCCTCTAGTCTGTCCTTTAGAGAAGCTCTGTTGGTAACAAAAACCATTGGTAATAAATATTGTTTTTTCCTTTGTCTGAAAACACTTCATTTCATCTTCATTTTTGAAGGGTTTTCAATGAATATAGAATTTCCAGGGTGGCAGTTATTTCCTTTCAGCACTTTCAAGGTGTCATTTTATTGTCTTCCTTTTCCCATTCCTTCTATTGAGAAGTTAGCTGTTGTTCTGGTCACTGCTCCTTGGAAGGTAATGCATCTTTTTCCTTTGGGACCTTTTAAGAATTTTTCTTTGTCTTTGATTTTTCAGCTGTTTCACTGTCGAAGTCCTAGTTAGGGTTTTCTTTGCATTTCTTGTGCTTGGAGTTCCATGAGATTCTTGAATCTGTGGCTTAATGTCTTTCAATGGTTTCTGGAAAATTCTCAGACATTGTCTACTCAAATATTATTTCTGCCCTATTTTCTCTCCCCACGTCTGGGACTCCTGCCATGTTAGACCTTTTCATTATGTCCCATGTTAAGCTTATGCTTTTTTTCTCCAGTACTTTCTGTTCTTTTCCCTCAGTCTTTTTTAAGGATCATTTCTTTTGAGATCTCTAATAGAGTTCACAAGTCCTTCTTCAGCTGTGTCTGGTGTGCTGTTGAGCTCCTAAGTTCAGTGAATGTATTTTTCAGTTCTAGATTTTTCATTTGAGTATTTTTTATAGTTTACAGTTCTCTGTTGAAATTCTGTTTGTCATCTGAATTCTTAAAGATGTTAATAATAATTATTTTCAGGCCTGGGTCTTAAAACATCACTATATGACTCTCCTATAGAGATCTTTTTAAAATTAGACTTTGAATTTTGAGATAATTATAGATTCACATTAAGTTGTAAGAAACAATACAGAGAAATTCTATGTGCCCTTTATCTAGTTACCTCCAATGGTAACATCCTGCAAAACTGTAGTACAATATCACAACCAAGATGTTGACATTGATACAATATTATTGTTCCCTAAATTTCCCCAGTTTCACTCAGATTCATGTGTGTGTGTGTGTGTGTGTGTGTGTGTATGTTTATTTACTTCCATGGAATTTTATCATATGTGTAGATCTATTTGCTTTAAAATTTTTTCCCTCTTGATTCTCAGTCACTCAGTTTTGTCTCCAGATATGTCTGACAATTTCTTATTGAATGCCAAACCTTGTGCAACAAAAATATGTGCGTTTGAATGATGTTATCTTCCTCCAGAGAGAATTTACTTGCTGGAAAGGGAGGCACACCCCTTGGAGATCCCTGGTCATGAATTTAAAATGAGAGTCAAGACATATTAGAGCCCTGTGCTTTTCCACATCCGTGTTCAGCTCTGCAGGTGCTGGCATGAAGCAGGTGGACAGCGGGATTTAACCAAGGTTGGACAGAGCCAGCCGAGTGGGACAGAGGGAGAGAGGGTGTTTGTAAGTAAATCAGTGCAAGAGAGGATAAACAAGGAGAATCTGCCTCCAGCTTAATTTTGCTCAGTGGTAAGTAATTAAAAGCAGTATTTTAAAACAAATCTGGATTCATTCTGGAGTAGAATGAGGAAAGCACACAAGTTTTTCAGATTACTCAGTAGACTTCAAATATGGTTTTCCTCTTTGAAGTGCTGCTTCCAGCTATACCCCTTGGTCCTCAAGGGGTAAATTCACTCTTGTTGGAAGTTTGGGAGGCTTTGGGAAAGTCTGAGAAGGACTGTTCTGCTGGTGTGACCCCTCCGACCCCTAACTGGCCCCCTGGCATTTCACAGGGACCATCTGAGGACATGGTCCAACTAAGAGCAATGACAATATTGATGGAGCAGGAGGGTGGAGGCTGTGCCCTCAGATGGTGGGGACAGGGGACCAGATCAAGACCTCTCAGGGATGGGGTGGGCACTAGAGGGACAGGTGGGGGTCATAAACCCAGACACTTGAGAGTCCAGTTTAGAGGCCACATGAGTCAGAGAAATCCAGTTAGACCATGGGGAGGGGACATGGAATACAACAGGGCCCCCCTTCCCCCTCCCTCATCTCCCAGGACCCCAAGGGGAGCAACACTCTAAGGGTCCAGGCAAGTAATGTCCCAGGGAACAAGTCAGGGACCTGGTTGCCATAACTGGGGCAGGAGGTGGGGATGAGGTGTTAGGAATGAGGCCAAAGCCCAGTTATCAGAACTGGGACACTTTCCATGTGGGACCTGTGTTCTTTACATCCTTTCTGCATAAATCCTGGGGAGAGGGGTGTGTCTGCACCAGGACCTGGCAGAACCTGTCAGGTTGGGTTGGGTGAGGCTTTGGGGCACCAAGATGGCACCCTCTCTGTCTCTGCCTATCACCCTGCCCCAAGTAGCCACCTCATTCCTGCTTGACACCCCCAAGGTAGCCCCACCCATGCAAGAAGAGCCTCAGAGTAAACATCATGTTTATTTAACATTCAAATTTACAAAAACAAAAAGGTAACAAAAACCATGACGTATATCACACACACACACATACACACATACCCACATGTTGCATCTCATGTCACTTTATGTACAAAATCAAGCGAGGAGCTGGGGAGGGGGGCGGGTTGCCAGTACGATGCACTAATTTCACAGTGTCCAACAGCTTGACATGCTCACTCACTGTTCAGCCTGGGCCCACGTGAGCCCTTCCCAACCCAGGAGGGTCAGGGGTCTAGGGGATATGGGGCTTGGAGTGGCAGGCAGCTGAGACAAAGGGGGTGAAGAGAATGATTCCACCTCTGGGAGGGGGTCCCTTCCCCAGTTTGCTCAGGGCAAGGGTGCTGGGAAACATGGAAAAGGGGGGACACAGTTTTGGGGGGAGTGGGGTCACTGTGTCATGGAGAGAGCACTGAATACAGAGTCAGAAAGCTGGGTTCAGGTCTCCCAGTGTGCGGGTTGGGTGACCTTGAAGGCTGCTCACCTACCCTGGGCACTGACGTCCTCATCTGTAAAACAAGGGCTTCGGAGACTTTCCTGCCCAAATCTGTGGTCCTAGGTCATGCACAATTGTGGCAAGGTGATCTGTCCCCTTGGGATGTTGACTGGGGGCACAATGTGCCACAAGGTGGGAAAATCTGGCAGATAAGAGCTGTGAAGCACCTGGTGCAGGGCTTGGCCCAAAGCAGGGGTCTGAGAAATATCAGCTTCCTCCCTTTCACAGCCTGGCACTCTTGGGAGACATCCAGCTTGCCTTCCCCTTTAGCTCTCCTGGAAATTCCAGCCGGTGAGAGAAGGGCTCAGGTGGGGCACACTGCACAGGGATGTGTTCCCTGAAGGGGCCAAGAACCCTACCACAGCCTCACCCAAGGTCCTGGGGCCAGCCCATCCCACACCTCCATTCCGCTCAAGTGGTGAACATGGCCAGGAGCAATTGATGACCAAACCTCACTCCACAGAGAGTGACACAGTGCCTGTCCCCTCTGGCTGAAGGGCGGGCCCTGGATGATACCTGCCCTGGCTCTGTCACTTGCTGGCTGATTGACATGAGCAAGTTACTTAATCTCTCTGGGCCCCAGTTTCTTCACCTGTATAATGGGGCTAAGTCCTAGCTTAGACCTGTTGTGAGAATAAATGAGACGATGCCTGTAAGGTGCTGAGCATGGTGCCTGACACTTAAAAAGGATTTAACATACAGGGCTCCAGCCTTGTTTTTAGCCAGGAGACGCTTGAGGACGCAATGAACACCATTTCCCCTCCGTCTTCTTGGCTGTGCCTCGGAGCAGCTAAAGGTCAAAGCTGGAGTCCAAAGAGCAGGCATTCAGCAAAGGTAAGAAGGATGATCAGTAAATAAAGGAGGGGTGGGGACTTTGGAGCATTCATCTTTCTGGAATGGAAATGGGGACCCAGGCAATTCACCAATGGCCCAGACTCAGAACCTACATCGGAATGGCTCTAATTTGTCTGTTTCCTCTGGAGGGCTGACCAGGGTGACTCAGCGCAGGTCAGATGTCTCATTACCATGACGAAGCATAAAGGACTTGGGATGGTGAATCTGGGTGGGCTCAAGTCATTAAATAAGTCCCCTCCTCTTTCCTAAAACCCTTGCTTTTCCCCAGGTCTCCACAAAAGCTGCTTCCTTAAAAACAATAACAGAAACCCAATAAAGCCCAGTGTCCCCAAAATCTAAGTTCCAAATTCTGCCATCACCCCAGCAACAGTGTATGTCATTATGAGACGCTTGACCCAGCACTGGGGCTGATGTCATTGGCTGTTACCGGGGCAACGTAGATCTCGGCAGGTTCTGGCTGAAGTACACCATTACTCCCTCTTCTAGGGGGAGTTGGGCTAGAGGTGCTGAATGGTCTATTTGTGCTCTTGAAATGGAAACAAGGATCTGGGGGCTGGAAGCAACAAGTCCTGGAAAGGCTCCATGGCCCTGGGCCCCACTGCCTATAGCTCTTGCATCATGCCTCAGGCTAAGTGGATGTGGGAGCAGAGACAGGGAACCAAAGAGGGAGGCAAGTGGCACCAGTGCCCATCTGACTCAGGTAGCCAACAGCTTCCCAGACACTTGGTCGATGACCGCCAGGTGGAGAGGCACCTGAGTTCTCAGCTCTCCGTTCCTGCCAGAGTGCCCAGGGATCACATCTCTCCTTCCCCTACTTTCTGGGGGTGGAGGATGGGAATGCCAAGATGTTTGTGTGTTTCATAAAGGAAGGTGGTCCAGTGGTCATGTTAGAAAGCATTCTGATTTCTCAAATGTCCATCCTCTTAAGTGTAGGCTGAACTCAAAGACTCTCACGGGCAGGCAGTATGGTGTCGGGGAAAGAGCACTGGGTCCTAGTCCTGGCTCTGCTCCATTGTGCTGTGTGGTCCTGTGTAAGTCACTTGCCTTCTCTGAGCTCTTTTCCATCTGTACAAGCAAGAGGTCAGACTGGCTGGCTTTTTTTCAGCTCTGATATTTCTCTCTCTCTCTTGGGGGAGCTGGTAAGGACTCAAGCATAGGGACCAGGAAGCCACCAGCCCTTTGAGATAGTTTCAGATAGGCAAGGTGCCAGGCTGGGAGGATCCAGAGGGGGCTGAATTTTACAATCTGCACATAAGGTTCTGCCTTGCCCCTTGCCCTTGCCCTTGCCCCTGACTCTTTGGAGCCAGCTTCTGACCCTGAGCTATGTCTAGCCAGATCCCATATGCTGCCCAGTCCCAGGACCTGCCCTTGCTATGCCCCTTGGTCCCTGCGCAGATTCTCAGGCTTGCCCCACCCTATCTACCTGAATCACAGATCATCTTACTTTTAATCTAGAGAGCTCTCATCAGCAATGTCCAAAACAAAGGCCTCAGCTCACAAATGAGGAAGGCCAGCCGAGGGAGGGCAGGGTCTTACAGAAGACCGCGTAACAACTTAGTGGTAGGGCTGACTAGGAACCGACGGCTCCTCCTCATCCAATGCTCTGCAAACCACTCCATGTGCCTCCCTGCGCTCTTAGCTTCTTCCTTCCTCCCTAAAGGCTGCAGGGCCATGCAGAGTGGGTAGGTATTGTGGCTCTCCCAGAGCCTGGGTTCCCTGGGGCACTGTGTCTCTGCCTCATGCTGTTCCCATCCCAGGATGAAGTGGCCCAGGCCTTGTCCTGGTCCCAGAGGGGGAGAGGTGACTGTGCCAGGGGCACAGCTGTGGGTGGGCACAAGGGGTGACTATGGCCCTTTGGCCTTCCAGGATCTTGGTCCCTAACCCTCCAGGCTGGAGCTGGGAAGGGAATGTCCTGGAAATTGAGGTGAGGCTGGGCCAGGCATGGATCCAACATTCAAACCACTGCACACACAGAAACAAGGAAAGAGGAGGAAGAGAGAGGGTGCAGGTCGGGGTGGGGGAAGAGGTTCCATCAAGATCCCTTGACTGGCAGCTGGTAGAAAGAAGGGAGGAGGGGTGAGTCCGAGTCCCCTGTGGTTCTGTCGTTCCCTCCCAGCTGGGGGGCAGCTCCACAGCCTGTTATGACCCTGAAGGGGAAGGGGCCAAGCCTGCTGCATGGGGGACAGGGGGAGCAGATAACCATCCTTACCACTGGGTGGGCCCCTCTCCCTCCCCCATACGTACACTCATGGTGGAGTGCTGCTGAGATCAGTGGAATCAGTTGTGGGGTAGGAAGGGGGTAAGAGAAGGCTCCACTGTAATGCCAGCAGGGTGGGAAGAACTGTGGACACCCCCTGCCAGGACCTGGACTCACCCCAGGCTTGACCTGTTGACTTAAGCTGCTTGTCCCCATCCAAGTGGCATCAGGGGACAGCCATCACAGGGCAGGGCATCCTGGAGGTATAGGTACAGGTGGGGGAAACAGGAGGCATGGCCAGGAGTGGGGCAGGAAAGGAGGCCAGTGTGTGGGTAGGCTGAGGAGGGAAGGTGCCTCTGCCCCAGAAGGTCCCCAAATTGGCAGGCAAGGGAGGGGTCCTGGATGAGGTGGCCCTTCATGCTTTGGCCCTCCCCTTGCAGATATCGAAGGTGGCCTTCGTGGCACCCCCAAAGGCCTCCACTAGCTTGTCTTCCCAGGGGAGGATGTTGCCCAGCAGCGGCCCTGTACAGTTGGCAATACCCAGGACCTGGGCAGGTGTCAGGGTGTGGTCCCACAGGTTAAACTGGGCAATGTCACCCACGAAGGCCTGGGTGGCATCAAACCGGCCACCAAGGGTATCCTGGACCAAAAGAGCAGAGAGAAAGAAGAGAGACATGGAGTGAGGGAGCAGAAAACACAAGCAGGCACTCAGGAAGTCAAGCCCCTGTCCCTGCTGAAGTCCCGCCCCCCAGGTTCTAGTCCCGCCCTTGGGCAGGTCACTGCTCTCTTTGGGTCTCACTCAGTCTGCCCATCTGCACAATATAGCTGAGTCAGACTGGGCGCTCACACTGCTGTACTTTCTGAGACCCTCCATCTCAGGGGCCCTGGGTGGGTGGGATATCTACTTGGGTCCCAAGCCCTGATATCACCCTAAGACTTACCTGCTCCTGACCCAGGATAAGGATCCCATGAGGCTTGATGGGGTGCCAGGCGGCCAGGTTCTCACCAGAGCCTTGCAGCTCCCCGTCCTGGTAGGCAAACCACAGGCCATCCCTTGTGGTCCAGGCAATGCAGATATGGTGCCAGCCATTGTCCTTCAGGCTCAGGGGCAGCTGGGCCACCTAGAAACAGGTCCCGAAGCCCCAGGTCAGAGGTGCCACATGGCCCAAGGCTAGAGCAGTGGGGTGGGGGATGGTGAGACTAGTGTCCCTCCTTCCAGGGACTGACCTAAGGTCTGACCCTCCCCTTCTTCCCATCCCAGTGTCTTTCAACCAGTCTTTCTTCTTTCCCTGTGGTGTATAATCAGGCAGCTTCACTCAGATCACAAGGGACTATTCGGTGTTGGTTTTCAGTCGTTTCCAGGTAGTTTATTCTCTCTCTAACAGGCCTGTAAGGTCATGCAGGGTGGGAGCTGTATCCCATAAGCCTATCTTCACTTGAACACCTTACACAGTGTCCAGCACACAGCTGGGCTCAAGAACTACTGGCAGTAGTAGAACAAGCCTTGGACTTGGAGGCTGGGCACTACCAACCAACCCCCGTGGGACCTTGGGGTGGCTGCTCTTTCCTCCCTGGGCCTTAGTCTCCTCACCTGTAAAGTTAGGGGGCTGAGCAAAGGATGGCAAATATGCAGCCAACTCTGCCTCCTTCTCCATCCAAGGCAGACATGGCTAATCAATCATGAGCCTAGACTCACCCTCGGAACCTTTCTCATCACAGTGCTCTGGGAAGACACTGCTGATTGATTAGAGTTGGCCTGTGAAATGAAAGGTACTTGGTGCCTGTGGATTTGGGGCTCCCGAAGGGCTCTTTCATCTCCTGAGTTCTCTGAGATCACAATTTAATGCAACAGTCTCTGAGTCCTACTTGGTGCCAGCCCTAGTTCTGGACACTGGGGATATGGATCTGGTCCTAATCATAAAAAGAGCTGAGTCTGCACAGGAGGAAAGGACTTCAGGGACAATATTACAAGGCAGAATAATAGGGGCTGTTTGGGAGGTACAGAGGCTGTGAAGGCCCAGAGGAAGGGGGGCGGTGTGGGAATGGACGTGGAGTCTAGACACATTTGGGAATACAGTGGACTCTGACCATTCCGCTGCAAGGCAAACCAAGTTGGGGCAGGAGAGGGCAGAGCAGAAGCAGAACCGTAGAGGCTGGAATAAAAGGGGAACTGTGAGTAGCTTGTGAGGCTGGCGCTCAAAAGGCCCCAGAATTTCCAGGACTTGGGCTGCCCTGTGCCCTGTCCAGGGTGCTGAATTCTTTCTATTAGAACTGAGCACTGACCTTGGGCAGATCTAAGGATGGCAGCTGGAGACTGTATGAGCGGAACACGATAGCAGGATCTAGATGTCATCCAGCTACCCTGGACATCTGAGAACATACTGGGCCACAAGAGAAATTCACTGTCCCCGGGCCCATCTCCTTCCTCCTCTTCCAGGACACTCATGAACCCTGAGCAGGGTTCTGCTGGGTGTCAACCACTCCTAGCAGCTCTATGTGGCTGTGGGCTGGTCATGAGTGGGTACAATATGTGGTGTCTGCATTTCTATGGAGTCTCAAAAGACCACCATGCCTGCAAGACCCAAAGCAATGTGGCAGGCAGGGAGAACTGTTTTGGGGGATGGGGTGATAGTCTAAGGTCACACAGTAGATAAGTGGCTGAACTAGGACTCCAATCCAGCATTCAGGCCCAGAGCCTGACCATAGCACCATCCGACTCTCCACCTGAGGGGTAGGGCTGGCTGCAGGGGAGGTGAAGGGGTGAGGAGGCCACCAATAGTCACCCCCCTCTGCTCCTTCCCCAGGTAGGTCCTTGAACTTCATTCCTTCTCTCTTTGTCCAGGAAAATGAGCAGGGCCCTGGAGACATACACTTCCAGCCTTGCTCATATAGCTGGGTCGCTAGGGAAGTGTCTTAATCTCTGTGAGCTTCACATGCTTCTCTGTAAATGGGACACCAGTGTTACAGCCTCTCTCGGACACAAAACTCCTCTTCAGCCCGCCCCAGGTCTGGCTTGTCTTTGAATTCCTGGAACCCAGCTTGACACACACTAGGCATTTCATGTGTGCTGATTCTACTGAGCAGGAGAACGGAAAGGGCCCACATGTTTGGGGCCTAGTGCAGTGCAAGTGGTCCTGGAAGGGTACCCCTTGCCCCTCCATCCCTCCTGCTATGCCCAGCCCCCACTCACCTTGTCATTGATCAGCAGCTCCATGGGGTCATGGCCGGCCTCCAGCAACACAATCTCATTGGCCTGCCCAGGCACCGAGTAGGAGAAAGGGGTGCCCTGGCCAGTGCCTCCCGACTTGGATCGCAGCCACATGCAGACCGTGAAGGCGTAGAGCTCAGGCAGCGCCTTCCGCACGCGGGCGTACATGTAGTTGTTGCGGATGGGGATGCTGACCTTGAAGGCATCTGGGGGACTGTATGCCGAAGACCCTGAGGGGGATGAACAAGGCAGACATGGTGGGGGTCAGTGGACACATGAGGGTGGGCAGGGCATACTCCAGAGTGAGGACTACTAGTACTTGGACACCTGCTATGTGCCAGATGCCTTCATCACCTTTTCTACCCTTTCTGTGTTGAAGGTGTGGCTAAAGCTCAAGGGCTCTGGACCTGAGACATCCTGGGTTCAAATCCTGCCTCTACCACTTCCCAGCCATGTGACCTTCAACAAGCTCAACTTAACCTCTCTGGGCTTCGGTTTCCTCAGTAAAATGGGGTAATAACATTTCCTCCCTCCCAGGGTTGTGTGAGGGTTGAATGGGACAAACTATCTAAAGGGCCTGGCCCCTACTAAGTGCTCAACAAATGTTAGCTACTGCTGTTACCGTTAGAGTTCTTGGTCTATTTATTTAACAAGCACTACACAGGGGCTTTCTAGGTGGCAGAAACTGTTTTAAGTGCTTTTACATCCTTTATTGCATTCATTCGTTTCTGTTTGTTTTTTGTTTATTTATTTATTTGCATTTATTCTTGTAATAAGCCTATGAGGCAGACACTAGTATAATCCTCATTTTACAGATGAGGAAACCTTGGCCCAGAGAGATCAAGTAACCTTCTCAAGGCCACACAGCTAGTAAGTGGCAGAGCTGGGATTTGAATAAGACAATCTTGAGACTCCTTGATCTCCAAGGTGTATCCGGCTCAGAGTTTCAGGGATTCTATGTCTTGAAAGGGATATCAGAGGGCTTTCTGTGGCAGGTAGACTGAGGAGTCACCGCCCCCAAGGAGAGAGGATAACACCCACCACCCACACCTCCCTCAGCAAGTGGCTGAGGGCTGGGGATAGGAGGTTGGGGCTGAGAATGGTGGACCCAGAGTTCCCAGGTCTGGTAGGGGTTTAGGGTCAAAGCTATTGTGATGCATCATGGTGAGAGAGGAAGGGGCTCAATATCTGCCTCTTTAAACCCATTTCATCAGTGAGGAAGTTGAGTCCCAAGAAGAAAGGGATACAGCTTGCCCATGGCACACAGATATCCTGCTTCATTGCCTCGCTCCTCTCCGTCCTGCGGTCTCTTGAGGGGGCATTTCTGCTAATCCCTTAGGAGGCTCAGTGTAGAGGGACCAGTGGCAGGACTGGGTAGGGATGAGTTTGCCTTTCTTGACCCTGTGCTCCAACCAGGATGCTGGCCCTGGAACCCACCAGGCCATGCCTTCTCTTTAGCTGTGCCCCTGCTGTAACCCCTCTACTCCAGAATTCACTCTCCACCTCTGCTTTCAAGAACTAGCTAGAGGCCCACCTCCTCCAGGAAGCCTCCTGGATTTCCTTCTCCTTAACTCCTCTCCCACATCTAAGTCAATCCCAGCTAATTGCTCATGGTTTCCCTTGGTAGCTTCAACTTGTCTATAAGCTTTTGAGGGTGGTCTTCACAAAGTTTAAAAGATGAAAGGTCCCTGAGAGCTCGTGAGTCCTAAATTCCCCTTTTTTCAGATGAGGAAAATGAGGCCTGGGAAAAGGAAGTAAACTTGCAAAGTCACAGAGCAAGCCAGTGACGGCTGTGGAATGAGGAGGCAGGTCCCCTGATGCACATACCTGTACACTGTCCATTACGGCATGTTTCTCTGACTTCCAGCGGTGCCAGGCCCAGGTGATAAACAAATGACAAAATTCTGACATTTAAGGTGTTATTGTGGGAGTAGTTAAATGCATGGACTTTGAAGTCAGACCTGGTTTAAGGTCTAGATCCACTCCTTACTGGCTGTGTGACCTTGGGCAAGCCACTTAACCCCTCTGGGCCTTATTTTCCTCATCTGTGAAATGGGGATAACAGTACCATCACTATAGGGTTTGTGAAGATTAAACCAGCTGATGTGGTAAGTACTTAGCCCACTCCCAGAACATTGTAAGTGCCAGAAAATGCTTTAAAAATCATGATCATGATATCCCCCAATTATTCTCTCTCTCGTGTTTCACAGCCTCCTCTTCACCATCCCATCTAGCTTTAGCCTCTCGAGAGCATGAAAATGTTTTTTGAGTGAATCTGCCACCCTAAGGACCTGTCTAAGGACCAAGGCCTCGCCTGCCATGCCCTCTGAGGGGCCCAGGACCCACCGTGCTCCAGTTCAGCTACACGGTCCTGCAGGGCATCCAGCTCCTTCTCCACCTCCTGCCGCTGCTGCTGGCTGCTGTGACTGAGGGCCACACGCTCCTTCTCCAGTGCCAGCACCTTGGCCAGCAGCTGGCCCTCCAGCTCATCCATCTTGGAGTGCAGGGCTGTGGGCACCGCGGGTGCAGGGGCTGGGGCTGCTGTGTAGTTCACCCGGGCCGGAAGCTCCTGCTGCTCACAAGGCAGAGAAAGGGGGACGCGAGGTCACTCAGAGGGAGGAAGGAGAGACAAAGGGCCGAGAGATGCCCACCACTCCTGCTGAGTGGGCCACCATTATCACCCACAGTGTCCCATGTGAAAGGTCACAGCCTCCCAGCCATGTAGACACCTGCTTGGCCCCCCAGGCTGGGATGGAGGCCAGGTGAGGTGGGCGGGGCATGGGTTGAAGAGCAGCTCCGTACACCTCGCCACACCCCTGTTACACTGACCTTTGCTACCCACTATCCAGAGGGCTCCTTGTAGCTCTCCAGGTGCCTCCGAATCCAGACTCTGGTGCTGACTAAACATAAAGCCTCAGTTTCGCCTTCTGTAAGATAGGGACAACTGGGCCCACTCTGTCCATCCGCAGGACAGATGTAAGGACAGAAGAGTGGAAGTAACAGGCCCTCATGCACTATAAAAGCAGAATGTAAACTATGAGGCTTGAATACCTCAGCTGATGGGGGCCTTGCTACCTCCAGAATCTTCCCTCGGCCACAGATGGCTCATGGAGCAGCAGGGCCAGACACCCACTGCCTCTGAGGTGGCTGGATTTGTAGGACACCTTGGGCTGAGGCAATTAGCTCATAGAGTGCCTCCCATGTCAGCGCTGGAAGGGCTGGAGCTGGATCTCCTCGGCCCCAGCACTGATCCAGCCTCACTTTCCCTCCTTCCTCTGGGCTGAGCTGGGCATGAGAGACGTACACTCGAATGAGAATGTGCTGGGCCCCCCCTTGGCATTTTCCATGTATTTACTCGTGAATCCTTGTTTTGGTTGGTGCTCTTAGTGTCCCCATTTCACAGATGGGGAGACTGAGGTAGAGGGCCTTTTGAATTTTCTACAATGACGAAGCTGGGCAAAGCTGACACCTCTCTCGAGCACAGCGTCTTCCTCCCTCAGAGGGAGAAGGACTTGCCAGGAAGGAACAGGACGTCAAGTGCTATTCACACAGACGCCGTTGAGAGGAGATACCGCGCAGGCCGAGGGAGGTGGGCGCACAAGCTGTTCTTTTGTCAGAGCCGCCAGCTCTGCCACTGACAGGAAGGCCAGAGAGGAGGTGGGCTCACTGTGTGGCCCCCTCCCCACCCCGATGTCTGAATCAGAACATGAGTCCCCCCACTTTCCCATCTGTTGCGGGTGCAGGCTATGTCGCGTGGGCTCCAGACTGATGCCAAGTGGGCCCCTAGCCCAAGATGGTGGGGCGATGATGATGCCATCACCCCATGCAGGTCCTGATGAGGCAGGAAAATGGGGGCTCAGAACCCACACCAGGAGTGCTGAGCATCCGGGTGGGGATTTGGTGTAAGTATATGGGGCCTGGAGCCAGAGCCCAGGGCTCTGGTCCAGCTCAGCACTAATGGGTCAGGCTCATTAGCACTCAGGAATAAGATGCTAAGAACCGCAGCTGTCTTCATCTTCACACACTGCGTGCCAGGCCCCGCCCTCTGGCAGCACTGTGCAAACATTCCACAACCCCTCCCAACAACTTGCGGAAGTAAGGAGGCCCACTTTACAGATGAAAGAGCAGAGGCTCAGAGAGGTGAAGTCATCTGCCCAAGGTCACACAGCTTCAAAATGTCAGCTGGGACCCCCAGCCCAGTCCCTTCTGATTCCAGCACATGTTCCCATTCTTTAGCCCTACCCTGACCGTCTGGGTCTCAGTTTGTTGGTCTGCCAAGTAGGCAGAGGGCGAGCTGCCCGGCCTGCCTTGAGGGGCAGCAGAAGAGGTTCTAGTGGCCATCAGAAGGCTGAGAGGGTCTGGCAGGCTGTGTCAGACCACGGTGTGGGGCAGCTTCACAGAGGGGCCTGGCTGGGAGGGACCTGCCTATGTGGGGTGGCTCTCAGGCTGCGAGGGCATGGGGAAGACCCAACCACCTTGTCCCCAGATGATGCCTGCTCCTTTCCTTTGGGGAGCAGAGGGCAGGTGCTGGATTTCAGGGTCAAGGTCCTACCCTCTACAGCTCATCCCCACCCAGGACAGCACAGGGCCCAGCTCCACGGGCAACAGGGCAGGGTGGAAAGAGGGCAGGCTTGGTGGCAGCGGTGTGGGTCAGGCCTCCTACCCCTGACATCCACTTATCCCTCAAGTCCTGAGTGAGTCTGCCTGGACTCATACTTTGGCTCCAGCAGCCCAGTGACCTCATTATGTAAAGCTGCTGTGCCTCAGTTTTCCCATCAACAAAAAGGGTACAATAATAATATCTCATAGCATTGTAGGGAAATGAAATAAGTTAATAGATAGAATGCCCTTAGAACTGGCACATGATGTGCTATGTGTCAGTTATTATTATTATTATTATTATTATATTACTAATATTACTTGAAAGGACCTACTCGTTTTCATCTCCAACTATAAACCTTTGTGTTTAATCATTAAATTGAGAAAAAAAGCTAGTTACAAAAGAACAGTTAGATATCATTTATATAAAGCTGCAAAGATTCAAAATGAGATCGTGTATTTATAAAAACATGAAGAAATACACAGAGAGATAAATATAAATTCAGGACGGAGGGGACCCTCTCCTGGGGATGGGAGTGGGGAGTCTCTGAGGGGCATCAGCTGGTTGCAACCATTCTAGTTCTTGAGCCTGGGTGGGGGCCTGAATGGTCATCTTTGGGCCTTTGTGTATGTGTAAGGTACTTCACAATGATTTTCTTTTAAAATAAAAGCAGGGAAAAAAGTCCAAGAGCAGAGTCTCTGAGGGTAGAATCTAACCCTGAATCTTAAGTGTAGCCTCACTCAGCTCCTTTGTCCCCCCACGACCACTCCAGTCCAGCCATGGTCATGAGTCACCTGGCTCCTACTCAGGCCCTTCACACAGCAGCCAGAGGCAGCCACCTAATTGCAAATCCAACTATGTTGCTTAAAATCTTTCAATACCCCCTTCTCCCACCAATAAGCTCCCTGCCCCTCTAATCTCAACCCTTACTATGTACCTTCAGAGGCTACACTTCATTCCGACTGAAAGTCTCCAGCTGCTCTCTGCTCCCTCTCACCCTAGGGCCTCGGCACATGCTGTTCCTTCTGCCAAGAACACTCTTCCCGCCCCCACCCCACCTCCTCTGGCCAATGGCTCCTAACCCTCCAGATGGCAGCTTTCCTGATGCCTAAGCTAAGATGCTCCGAAGGGAGAGGGAAAGACGGCATCTCTGGAGGGACTGCAAGTCCTCATTCACTCATTCACTCACTCATTCATTCATTCATTTATTCACCCATCAACATGTACTGTGGTAACATGATACTGTGGGCACAGACAAGACTCTCAGGTCAGACAGACCTGCATCATTCCCAGGCTCCCCACCGACTGGATCTGTGGCCCTAGGCAAGCTGCTCAACCCCTTTGACCATCAGTTTCCTCAACTATAAAATGGGGATAATTATGGTGTCTATATCTTGGGATACAAGTAATGACAAAATGAAAAACATAGGTAAAGTCTGGCATATAATAATGGCCAATAAACAGTCAAGGCCACTATTATGACTTGCTGTTATTGAGAAGCAGGAGAGCATAATGAGTAGTGACCGCAGGTGTGGGCCCTGGAGCTAGACTGCCGCAGACTGAAATCCCAGCTGTGTGCCTTGGCCAATGTTCTTAACCTCTCTGAGCCTCAGTTTTCTCATCTGTGCAATGGGGAGAGTAACAGCCCATGGTTCTTGTGGGGCTAAATTGTAGGGCCCTTAGAACAGGCTGGCACAGAGGGCGTGCTCAACCCTGCGGCCTCTTACCTACTGCTACGTGCTGTGGCTCCAGAGGTGAATAAGGGCCGTGCCTGCCAGCAGCAGTGATCTCAGCTGGTGGAGGGTGGGAGAGGCAGACTGGGCCCTGGGACAGCCATGACACCTGCCACCCATGAGACGCTCTCTTTGGGGTGGGGCTGGGGCGGGACATGGGAGTCAGGGAAGGCCCCTCAGAGGGTCTTTCCTGCTCTGCCTTCTTCTCCAGGAGCTGGCCCAGTGGGCTGCTCTGTCTCCATGTAACTCAGCAGGGAAGGAGACCAAGTGGCAGAGGCCAGACTGATCTTTGTCCTGGTCCCCCAAGGCCAATTTGGAGCTGGAATGAAAAGATGAGAAATAAACCTCTGTGCACTGAGGGCGCCAAGTCAGGGTGGTCATTGTGCAGGGTGGGGAGGAGGCTGGGAGGAGGGGAGACAGCTCTCGGAGGGTCTGTTCCATACACCATCCTGGGCTCTGAGGCCTCAGAGTAAGTGACAAGACCTCAACCCCAGGCCCCCCTTCCCTCTCCCTTCAAGTACTGCCTGTTAAGCTGCTGTGTTGAGAAGGCCACAGAATTCCCTCTTAGGCCCTGCCTGCCCACACACCTCTGGGCCCTGGCCAAAAATCTGCCACAAAGACTGAGGACTCCCCTCCCTAACCTATTTTCATAGAAAATCCTGGCAATGATCTTGGTTCAGCTTCAGACGTGCTGTGTAGCCTTGGGTAAGCCACTCAGCCTCTCTGAGCCTCAGCTTCCCCTGGGGTCAATCAAGGGCTGTTCAGGGGCACCTAAGTGCTTCCATCTCAGGTTGGCTGCCTCAATCCCTGCCCCGAGTTCAGCAGGGATCGTGTGCCCAACTGTCCTAGGGGAACCCAATGGCATTCTCACACAGTGAGGAGTGCCAGCCCTGACCTTGTTCCACCTCCTATGGGTGAGGACTTCACAAAATGGCCAATAAGCATAGGAAAAGGTGCTCTACATCATGAGTCATTGGAGAAATACAAATTAAAACCACAGTGAGTCCACTACACACCCACCAGAATGAGAAGCATCTTTAAAATGATCATACCAAGGTTGACAAGCTTCACATGCAAGTGGGCGTGCAAACGCTTACCACCACTTTGGAAAAGCATTTGGCAGAACTTCCTAATGCTAAATATATGCCTCTTCTAGGACCCAAGCATCCCACTCCTGGGGAGACATCCAGGAGAAATGAGGGCTTCTACCCAAAGATATCACAAGAATGTTCATGGTGACTTTATTTGTAATAACCCCAAACCAGAAACAACCCACATGTCCATCCATAGAAGAATGGATAAATAAAGGTATCTCCACAGACTGAAACACTACTCAGCACTG